CTTCACGCGTTTCAAATGTGCACATCGGCTAGAGCTTATAAACTGTCGCTACGACCGAGGGACGTGAATCGAGTGGTCAGGGTTGAGGTCTAGATTTGGGCACTCAATGACAGATGTTCCCAAGAGTTTTGAAATGCTCGTGAGGGCCGCCTGTCCTGCGTACGGTAGCCAGCTTTTGTGGTTCGTGTGAACCAAGCACGATTTGGTGAGTAATAATGTTAGCTCCGAGGGTAGATGACATGAGTACTTAAAACCACTCCCAGAACGACTGTGACCCGCTGTCGGTCTACCATAGATAAAATGGACAACGTGCCGAGACCGTCCAGGCCATTTAAATGTCAATCCTACCCCTTTTAAGTAGTGGTTACGTCTTGACGCGGACGGGTCGTTCAACCATTATTGAGACCGTCTCGGAGGATGGTGATCCTGTCGCGTGTTATGCATACTACGACGTCGTTCGCGTACTACATTTTTTGCATGTACAAACAGACAAACTTTGAGGTTCGTCCCACCCATTGAAAACGTAGAGAGGTTCTCATTAGATTTGAGCTTTTGCACCGGGACGTTGGTGATTGGCGGGGTTCGCGAGAGCATCGAAGGTAGGACGATTACATGAAATCAAACACCCAAAATCGGGAAGCGAATGAATCGACTTACGCATGCCACATCCGAATGCGGCACGACGAGATGGTCCCTTGAGAATCGGATACCATACACACGGGGAACTCGTGTGAGGGATTAGACGGCTGGTGGCATGTATTCCACAAAGGAAAGCTTTGGCTTCACGGAGGCTCCATCAAACTGCTTTGACTAATAGATGTGTCAGAATGAAACCGACAGGCGCACCGATTGTCTGCTTTGAGAATGACTAGTCAAGTCACGATGAATAATGGTCCGCTTGTGCAGAACCATCAATCCGTATTGAGCAACGACTCCACGGCGACTTCGTCAAACCACTTTAATTAATACATGTGCCACAATGAACCCGGACAGGCGGGCCCATTTTCTGCTCTAGATAGAGATTGTCAAGTCACCACACACGATTGTCCGCTTTGTGAAAAACAACAAATCCGTATCGCTTTGAGGGAACAAAGGGAAAGTTTCGTTACCACTAGGACCATGGGCCACTTCCCATGGCTCTCATCCTCCAGCGTATAAATACCCTTCCAGCCTCTTTCGCTGTTTAGTATCTCCCGCTTCCTCCCTTCGTATTCCAACCTCACACAACTCTTGCCTCTGGCCAACCATTACACTAGTTCAAAAACGACAAAGACGAACCAAATGGCAGCAGCTCCGCCCTCTGATTGGACGCGTGTGTTGGTCCCTCAGACCGCCGCCCACCCCCTCCATAAACCAATCAATCGGGTCTATTTTGACTACAAGGGGTGTCACGGTCGGAGGGAAGGAATCTCGCTGAGTTGGTTACTTGAGCAGATCCTCGGTGGGCACGACCTCCGAAATTCGATGGACGGAGCGGACGAACCTGTCTTAGGGAACGCGGATAAAGTTAACTTTTACATCAGAGTGCGTTGATTCCCCCCCCTTTCAAAGTGCTTCACCCGACCACCCGACCCTGACCCTCCTTTATTCACTTATAGTGGCCTGGATATGAACACGTCCGATGTGAGACCAAGACTGAACAGGGTGACTCTGGTTGGGGCAATACGAGGTGGAGCTTGGCGTGCTTTATTCTTGGGAGCTTGCAAGGATTCCTCATGGTCTGCATTTCGTTGATTCTCTTTTTTTCTGTTTTTTTTTTTCCTTTTTCTTGCCAAAAAGGAACACCCGAACTGAGATGACTTTTTTTTTTCCAACAGGAAGCTGACCGGACGCAGGCTATAGGAGACATGCGTTATCGCGTGGGTCCTGATGGTGTCAAACTCAGTCACCTAATTTTGCTCTCCGCGGTGAGGGTATATGACGACACTTGGCGCGCTGAAGTTGTCGTGCGAATGTTCACCTCAAAGGCTCACAAATACCGATAGGTGGAGGGGATGTTTTTTTTTTTTGTAGTATTGTTAGGTATGTAATTCACAGTGTACTTCTCTTTAGTTGTAAACAATCAGAACGATGTATGAATTTTTTTTCCGAGAGTGGACGCTCTCCCGAGCACAGGGACGGTTGAGGTGGTCTTTTGGTTTCCCCGTATGGGCTCGTCGGCAATTAGCGATGGAAGACCAATTCGAGAATAGTAGCATAAGAAATCTTCGAGATTAGGGAAAACTCCTAGTGTTGCAATGGAGTGCAAACGACCTGTCCCCAGTTAGGGAGTGGAAGGATTTTTTAGATTGAGCCGCAGTGTAGACTGAGTTATGGACTCTGAAAGATGCCAGGTAGAGAAGGGAGTTCGAGTTTTTAGGAAGGACACAAATCTCGAATTCGAAGTGATTGACGATGGTGGTATGGGCGAAAGGCGTAAACGATTACTTTATCACAGGGCTTGCGAAGGTAACAGTCACACTCGTAACCGCCTTGAACAATCCTCATGTCCTCACAGAATACTGCTGGGTTCGTATTGTCGCAGTTTCAAAAAAGACACCTACAACTTTATCGTCTATCGTGCAAAACGGCCAAGAAAAATAGTCAAAGAATGTGAGGAAAGGCAACTGTAGAAATGTAACATAACGAAATGCAACATCGGACAAGAAAATGAAAACCATGAACCAGACAAAAAATGTCGTGTCCGTCCTCCTGCAGAACAACCCCCTTCAAATAAGAAAAAAAAGGAAATGGAACATACCCAATCCATCCATAAGCGATCAAGGAAAACAACTCCCTTTAGTAAATTTCCGTAAACACTACACGATCCTGGGCAGAGCACTTTTTCAACAGAGATCTGACACGTTCCTTGTTCCTCTGCGCCTTGTCTAAACCAACATATTTCTCTCGCACGACTCTGATTTCGATGACACCACGAGAAAGTCGGGCTGTGGCAAGGATATCGTCCAACTTGATCCACGCGTCGGTTGGAATGCTCGAAGCTCCATCTTCCAAAAGATGTCGAAGTCGTAGATTGAGTATGATTTTGCTCAGATGGGGAGAAGTGAGTGAGGGGAGGATTGGGAATATGGGTTGGAGATTAGATCTCTTGGAGAAAACAAAGGTAGCCGTTTCGAGTTCACGGAAGGCTGAGAGACATCTATCGGTCTTTGTCAGTACTACAAGGCTTCTATGTGAAGAAGAATTCACGCACCGTATCCAGAAGATCTTTCTATCCACGAGACAACATCGTGAAAATTGAATTGAATGGAGCGTAGTGTATTTTGGCACATAGGTGCATAAAAACGTTCGTTCGCAAGGTTCTCATCACTGAGATATAGCTCCGAAATGTCGCGAGGAGGGTGGGAAGACAGCCAGGTCTGATAGTATCGCACTACCTCTGCTGAAGGGCAAAAGGTGTCGAAACGGAGTGTTTTTAACGATTCGGGAAGAGTAGAAGTGCATAACTCCTCATTCGGTTTGAGGAGGAGGGTGTAGCAGTCTATGTCAAAAACTCGTAGATTCGAGAAGGAGCATGCGAAACGGAGTAAGCATGGGAAGTTCTCCACTTACCTTGGAAGTCAAGTATTCCCTACAATCAGCGGCTACGAAACTCCAGGTCATACTTTCGTGAACTTTTTCTACTGCTGGAGTCTTCTCATAGCTTTCAGATTGCGTCACGGGAATCACTTCACCGGAAGGATATCAGTTGGCTTCGGTATACTGAGATTTAAGGAGCATTGATGATGATCACTGTTCTCACTCATTCAGAAATAAGGAGATAGAATGTATTGTTCTAGCTACATTTCACTCCTATAGCCATAAGTAGAGTACCTAGAATGTTCTGCAAGTATTCTATCAGCTAATGACTAATGGAGTAGGGAAATCAGAACTAAGAGTTGTTAGAAAAAAAGGTTGTGGAAGGGTGTAAGAAGTTTACAAGCTTGCGCTTGCTTCAATTTGAATCCACAACGCTCACCATCCGATGCGGGAGGCGCATTACCAATAATGAGCCCGGATTTGTCGTCACCTCTAATGTTTCATGGGATTTTTGTTTCCTTTTCACGACTCGTCATTGATTGTTTTCAGCTGAACGAATAGTCGATCATTTGACTGGATTTTTGGATAAAGCAGGTTCTACGGCAAACATGGGACACGGCGTTGGTATGCTGAAAAATTAATGACCTCCGATAACGTATTTCCATACTGGCCGAGCCGGAACCATTCACCCATTCATTGGGAGGCGTCAGGGAGGCGCTGCCACGGTGATCAGAGTTTCTTTCTAAGTCTCTGCATTTGCTGTGAGTGGTCGAGTGACAGTGAAGGCAAATACGTTTTTGGACGCAGCCTGCAGCATTTCCTCTACAGACTCAGGTGGAGCCTCTCATTTTTCCCGGAGACAATGAGCTCTGCAGACGTGCTATGATTTGCAAGATGGGGTAAATCCGTTCACTACCTTCCCGCTCAGTCTCGGCTCCGTTGTCTGAATCTTATAAGTAAATAGGCTCTAAATGTAACTAGCCTCGACCACAAAACCTAAAAATTTGTCATTATGCTAACCGTGACGGGATACGCATGAGTCGCCACGCCCTTTCAGAGAAACTCGGCTATTCGCTTGTGCTCCACGAGCCCCAGTCTTAAGATAGATGGACGAGGCAGACTGATCCAGTCATAAGATACAAGAAATGTCATGTACAGGCCTACAAAATACTGCGATCACCGCCTATATTGTCCGAAATTCACTTAAAGAATTATTACGATGTCGGTTTCACGCTCTGGACTAATACCCCATCACACCCAAAAGTCCATATCCATAAGAAGACCCCACCCGAGCAACTACGCGGACCGTTCCCAGTACCTGTTGGTAAATTATCTCTGCGCATTTAAGAGCCGAAAGAACCCTGTACCACGGGCCTTTGTGAAGTCGAGAGCCACAGTCGGGACGAATATTAAAATGAAGCGTGGTTAAGGATTGCTAGCAGGAAGATGTGTAAGAAAAAGGTTAAGCATCGGTGATGTATCTGCCCCAGTGAGGCTCGAACTCACGACCTTCCGATTGTTAACGTCAATTTATCGACGACCATAACAGTCGGACGCTGTAACTAACTCAGCCATGGGGCACGTAGGTATCCCTTGATCTCACCTGACTAAAGCTCCAAACGTGGTGGCTAGATTGAAAGATCGCCGATCGGCCGACAGGTCTGCTATCCAGAAATAGACCGATTCATCACATGCATCACAGGCAGATCCGTGTTGTTAGAACGCTATTAGTGTGACGCCGAGCTTTCAAAATCCCTTAAATTGCTTCCCAGAAGTCTATCCTGCGATGTGGCGACCGGCTTGAATGATAGGAGGAGTGCATGCAAGTTCTCGTTCGGCACTGGGAAGTGTTGCGAAATAGCGTACATCAGCCGAGTTGCCTAATTTGCCAAACCATTTCAGTATGCAAAAAATGCGCACCTCGAGCATATATAACTTTTTTTCTGTTCGGCTCAATTTAGGCTTGTTTTCCGAGTACATTCGGGAATCGGTAGTTGAACGCACCTTTGTGGTTCTATTAACATTGACCAAGAGTGTGAGAGTTTATTTATGGCCGCGGGAGACAAAGTTGCTCCGAGTCGCTTTCCACCTATGATATTGAGCGCGAGTACATGGAACCCACGGGATTGACCGTGGTCGATTTATTTTTTTTGCCCTTGAAAGTGCAACGTTTCGTTTTCCCCACCACGAGCTGTAAGGCTTCGGGTTGTGGGTTAGAGGGGTATCACTCTCTTTCAATCTTTAATTATTTTAAGTTTGTTTCCATGTCTCCCGGAGTCTGTATATTTCTTTCGTACTTCTAGCTCGTTAGCTGACTGATCTAGTAAGAACAAAACTTCATATGGGGGTAGGTATAAAGCTGTAGGTGGAAACCTTCCATTTCCTTATTTCTACCAAGAATGTTCTCTCGCATCCCTACATCTCTACTCTTCGGCACGGAAGTCTTTTAAATCTTTCCGGTAAAACGGATGGTTCGCACAGTCCGTCCTAAGGACAAGGACGACCAAATATAAACCAGAGATACCATTTTTTTTGGATACACATAGAGCAGGCTAACAGCCTCGACATGGTCAGCGGCGAAGTTTCTTGTATTCGTTCGGTCTTAAGGACTCTGCAGCATTTATGCATGCCCATCTAACATCATGCCCATCTAACCTCATGCCCATCTAACCTCATGCCAAGGCGTGATATATTCTGCTAATAGCGTCAACTCTTCCAGTGACGCCTGCCGGCGCCCTGATGATGCAGGAATAACATTTGTTGGGCTCGAGGTTGGACTATAAAAGTAGTGAATCCTTCCACTACTCCTGAGCCTAAACCTTTTTATGTAATCTGCCCTAATCCTTAAGATTTGAAAGCAAGTGAGCCTTGACAATCTGTGGATCCAACACTGGATTAGGATCAGGACTTCTCATGGCTTAATCTGGATTGGATTCATGATCATAGTGTGTGCAATTGTGTTTGCCTTGCTTCTGCTCACAGGTATACAACCATCAGGTGTAATCCATACTTAATTCTAGATAATCCTGAGTGTTTGAGCTGTTATAGTTCTTGTGTGGCTGCCTGTTGATTGGAATGGGGATTAGCAGAGGATTAATCTAATTTATTATGCACCATCAGCTGTAATCTATGCTTCATCCATAGTCCAACTCTTTGATGTTCCCAAAATAAGCCTACAACCAGTGGTTAATCCCTGTAAATCCTGCTGAGTTATGTCCCTAAGTCTGCTAGCCCCACTTCATCAACAGCTAGCCACTCAAGGATTACCACAGATAAGTCAGGATTATCTGAGATTAATCCATTGTTAAGCCTGTGCTTCCCCCCCCCCCCATAAGCCACATCATTCAAGGATTTGGATGGATTACCCTCATGAATATGAGTTAGCTACAGTGGAAGGACTTACTAAATTTTAAGTGAGGGCTTAATCCTAATGAGTGCAATTGTTGGATGATGAAATTCGACTTCACGATAATGAGACTGTTCCGTCGGATATGAGAATATAGGCTGAATCGGCGAAGCACTAATAATCTCCTCTGATCGGTCCAGAAGAAAAAGAAGAGTGCAAGGGGTGAGGCTTGTCGAAGGTTACGCTCACAGGGAAAGTATTAGGAGCAGCAAACACAACAGCAATCCAATCAATGTGACTACTCGCTGGAAGGCTAGTAATCGACAGAAAGGTAGGTAATCAACGGTCTCTCAAACGAAACCAACAAAACAATAGGAAC